TTCGCGTATTACATAGCCAGAGTCACCGAATCAAAGAAGGGGAAGATCGCCGAGTCACGTGGAATGTATCGGGGAAATGCATGAAGAATTATGGTCGCAAAGAACCCAATGGGAAGAGGCCACTTAGAGAGGCCCGGGCGTACTTGGCAGGATAATATTAAAAACGAATGTTTGAGAAAATCGACGTAAAGGCGATGACTATACCACTAGCACAGTATAAGATCAAATGACGAGCGTTTATGAACACCATGACGAAAGTTCTAGTACCAGGGAATTATGATATTTCTCTGCCGTTTGAACAGCCACCAATCTCTTCAAGTAACACACTGTTCCATACACACAGCCCGCATGAAGAGGATGAACAATGATAACAGCATAAATAAGTATGTAATGTAGTCTCTAATTTAATGTCGACGTCAGCACCACCAGAAACTAGGTCAGTACTCGAAAAGTGAACACAACATCGCAGACAGGGATGTCTCGTACAAGTAGACTATAAGGTAAAACACATTCACTTGCTTTGTGGCTAGTAATGAAACTGTGTATAACAACTAGGAACCTTGGTGCTTGCTCTGAAGAATTCTCTGGCCATGAATATGGCGGCAGCAGATACCTCCAAAACGTCGGTAAACTTCTGCCGGACTATAATAAGGTGTCACATCCTAGAAGACTGTACTCTTCACAGTGAGAGAAACGAAATTAACTGCACTTTTTTTTTCCTTGGCACTAGAGCCCCATTGGGCCGAGGCCTACCTCCATGAACTTCTCCGTTCACTTCCGTTTTTCTCGATCTTACACATACGATAGGACTCCTTGGGCGAGTGATTAGCTCGTCGCAAGGCCTCTACCTGTAGACAAACACAGAAAAACGAACACAAACATCCATGCCCTGAGTGGGATTCGAACCCACGATCCCGGCTTCCGAGCGAGCGAAGACAGGGCATGCCTTAGACCGCTCGGCTACCGTGACCGGCCAACTGCACTTATTAGAAGTGTAATTATCACTGCAAGGAGAAAAACTACTGGTTAGACACAATAATTCAAGAGCAATGAAAATATGAAAATATGAAAATAAATTATTCCGGGATACAGAACATGCCAGTGGCGTGCACTGGAGCTGCAACCAGCACAGTAGCGGTAAACATTAGTCTGGACTGCAGTCGGATACCAGCACAGAAATGGCAAACATTAGGCTTGGCTCTGTGATGGAATACATGAACAAAAGTTGTAGCCCCTAACGTCAGTCTGGGATCTAACTGCAGCCGGATACTAGCACCAAAGAAGAAAACATTAGCCTGGGGTCAGACTGTATCCAAATACTACCTCAGAAGTGGTAAACAATATGCAAATAATCACCGGGTTCGAATTATAAATCGGCGCTAGCATATTAAATATACACAGTATCCCACACTACACATTGCAACATTTTGCGGCAATCCTGAAGAAGTTTCCTGCATTGACACTTGCCGCGCTAAGCCGTAAACCTTGCTATTCAACCATCACCAGCAGTCCCTATTAGGAGTCAGCAGTCGTGGAATGCGTTCCAGAATGCCCCATACAGGAAATGCTGGCTTCTGGTTTTCAAGTTCGTCCTTATTTGTCGGTATGTCTGTGACAACTGCTAATGCTTTTAGGTACAGAGCAATGAGTGGCCTTCATTCAACTATATTTCCGTCGTTTTCAAGGGCACATTCTTCCTACTCGTCGAATAGTTTTGTTCGTCTAGATTGGTCATGGTACATACACCGAACTGTAGGTACGTATGTAAGATTTAAGGTTTTCACGGCGGTGACTATGAAGAAAGCAGTCTTCTGGGATTTGGCACCGCGTATATGTGGTGCCAAATCCCAGAAGACTGCTTTCTTTGTAGGTACGTACGTAGATCACAGAAATGTTTAAAAGACGCAGTTTTAATGCCGTAGAAATAAAGTGACCTGTTCACTTTAAGGTTTCAGAATATTTTAATACACATGAAGGCAAGAATGCGATCACCTACAGCCATTTCATAATGTAGAATTAACCCAATTAAGAAGCAAAAAGTAATGTCTGAAGAGTCATTTGGACTAAGGAGAACAAACATTTTGCTATGATAATGATGATTATGGTAATTTCAGTGGTGATTATGATAAGATCACAGGGCTCAATCTGTGAATAATAATAATAATAATAATAATAATAATAACAACAACAATAATCTGACTTCCTACGTGCAAACTCGAAGGATCCCCAGAAAGGTTCCAAGGAGTTCTACCCCGATAAATATCCTTAATGACGGACTATTATTACAATGAAAAGCAGTTACATTAAAGTGAGCACTTCCAACTAAAACAAACACACAATTTTCCTATAATGAATGAAATAAAAAGGTACATTAAGAAGGTGAACGAAACAGCAATTCGACATCGACGGGCGACGATTAATACGCTAGTGAAAGTTAACGATGCTTGCTTGGCGTGTCTTCAGTGTAACACAGAATTCATTATGATGGTCTACATCGAAAATGTGATTACTTTTCATATGACTTAGAGCAACGGTTCATTAACTTAACGTCCATTAAATCAGGAGTTCGCGTACCGGAACAACCGACGTCGCGTCTACGACGGGTATACTGACACCGTCCCTCCTTCATTTAACTGTTGGTGATCTATTGATTCAGATGAGATAACTACCTCCAGTAATTTGCGGCCACGTGATTTTGTTCAAGATCATGTTTTACGAAAACGGGAAAGGATACAAGTGTATACTAGCAGGCTCGGTTTTGCATGAGGATCTCAGGGATGTTGTAATGGCCACAAGTCTGAATAATAATTGGTTAGGAGTTTCCAATGAATTACTCACTGACTTAATACACAAGTTTTATCTACCAATCACTGCTGAGTAATACACACTGTTACTGTGACGAGTATACCCATTGCTAGGCAACGGGTCGGGAAACACAGTCCCGCAACAGGAGCGAGAGACAATAGGACATCCATTGCTACGTAACGGATCAGTAAATACGCATTACTGACAACAGAAGACGGTTTTTCCGTGGGGTCCGTGCCGAGGAGTTATAAGAGGGCAAAGTCAAAAGACGAGACGGAGTATAGAACAGTAGTCGACAGTAGTCGAGTAGTCTTCGGAAATGGCAAGGAAGGGATTAGGCGGTGCCAAGAAGACTTCATGTGTGATTTGAAGTTACAGTGAGACTGTGATAAATACGTTGCCAGGATACGGCTAGTGAAGGCAGAATCCTAGTGTGTGTGGAACGGTGAACTGGAGAGTGTGGAGAATAGCGATAGCGCTGCAGCTGCAATAAATCCAATCATCCATTCCAAAACCCGCCTCATAAGTCACCTCTACGAGTGAAATTATGATTACGTTTTTCCTGTTTACACAGGTGAATTTATTTAGATACTCATTCTTCGGTTTGGACTCCACTTAAATCAAATCTACTTTGGGAACCAGCCAAAAGTGAGATTATACTAACGAAGAAAGAAACGTGTTTTCATTATTTCATTTTACGTACCAGTGTTATAAAACCATTAATATAGAATTTTTTTTTAAAAGGCACGGCCTTTCAGGATGAACACCCTCCCCTATGGAAATTAGTCTCTCTTTCGATAAGATTTGGTGGGGGAAGGGATTTCATATGAGAGATATGATTTATATGCCCACACAACGTAATGATATCTTTTGGCTGTCGTTTAAAATATCTCCCAGCATAAAATACTGAATATACGTATAACCGGTGGGCTGGGAAACGATCGTTGTGGAAACCGAGTAGGAAAATGAAAAAAAAAAAAAACCTGGGATGAATTTCGGGGAAAGAGATCGGGCGAACGGTCGATGGGTGAACTGACTCCGGCTCAGTCCAACAGCAGGGTGAGGGGTGTCGAACTTCCAGGTTCTGTTAATCAGCTGATGCACTGAGTACAGCGCTTCTGAAGATCAGCTAGTCATGGGATTCCCCGCATTTCACGGAACCCGAAGGTTCACTGCCGCGTTCACAACAGCATACCAGTGGTTCCTATCCTGCGCCAGACAAATCACGATCACAACCTCCCAACCTGTAAGATACAGATTCTAAAGGGTTGTGACGATGATGTAAATCTGGCAAGGGTTGTCCAGTGATTCAGATCAGCTCTTTCTAAGGGGCCCAACCGTGTCATCCTCCCTTACCTGAGGACGGAAACAGATTCAGTTTCCGAAACGTCATGTTTATATTTTCTAAAAAAATTGACGATGGGAAAAAATTAAAAAACCCAGTAATTATGTCCGAAAGATCTATTTTAATAGTATATTCTGATTTATGCCTAGGTCTTCCAAGTGGTCTCTTCCACTCAGCTTTTCCGACAAGAATTTTGCACGCATTTCGCTTTTATCCCTTGTGCTCCACTTACCAGTCCATCTCAATCTCCTCGAGTGGCTCACTGTAACATCTGCGAAGAGTACAAATTATGAGCTCATCACTGTGTAATTTTCTTCTTCCTCTTCTCAGTTCTGCCTCTCCTATCCACATCTTCTACTCAGCTCCCTGCTTTCCGATACACTCAATCTATGTTCTTCCCTTAATTAAAAAGACCAACTTTCACACCCATACAAAACACCGGGTTTATATTTTAATCTTTATGTTTTAAATAACAAAAAGGAAGACAAACGATTCTGAACTGAATGGCGCCAAGCAACAATTCTGATTTAGGGTAAATTACTACCGACAACGTGTAACGCAACAGTGGGTAATACGAACATAAAGATGAATTAAGTATAGTGCAGGATGGTGTGGGGGTAAAGGTGTACATCTGTTAACCAGTAAATGCCCGGTTCGAATTAACTCCGGATTACCAGTTACACGGACCTCTAGTAGCTTCCTTCGTCTCCTTATGTGAATGCTGGGATAGTTATTTCAAATATGCCACGCCCGCCTTCTTTTTTTCAAATTCTTACTTATTCACCATTCAGTACATGGCTATAATCTAAGCAGGAAACACGCAAAAATAAATCAATTTAGTTCAACTTACCCTGCAGGGTAGGCAACCACTCCTGTCTCTGGGTCGCAGTCGAGTGCTGCATTGCTGGATACCGTTAGCCCGAGCACCCGCTCTAATTTCACCTGAGATAAAAAACCAGAAGGAAACTGCATATTAAATACAATTACATTATAAATATGTAGCTATGGCTCTACAGCCCTTGTAGACCTTGGCCGCTTTTTTAGTTTCTTAATCTATACACAGTCGGTAGGACACCTTGGACGGGGGATCAGTCCGTCGCAAGGCCTCTACCTGTACGCAGAACACAAACACAGACATCCATGACTCGAGTGGTATTCTAACCCACGATCCCAGCGCTCGAGCGGGCGAAGAAGGTTCACGCCACACAGGGGGCGGCCATTGTGAGGCATAATATAAATAACTGGCTGTAAATGGAGATGGAGTAGGAACAGGGTGAGTGCCACAAAACCTGCCTCTTTATCAGATAGGGGCAAACTACAATTTGATAAGCGGCTTTGGAGGTAACAGATACGGCTATACCAAAGCTTTGTGTAAAGTAGGTTATATCCTGCAGTGTTGCCCAACTGGTTGCCTACTTTCTGGCGGCCTTCAAAATCCAGTCAGCATCAGGTGAGAAAATTATTATTTTATAATTAGCAACTGTACTTGCTTATTTCCGCTTTGCGAACGAAAATTTTGTGCCGAACAATAATACCCGCGTTAATGGTGCACAGAAGCAGTGATGAGAAGCACGACACACAAATCTAGGGCCCATCATCCTTCAGAAATGGTGGGAGGGTGGCAAGGCAATGCTTCAAATCTTTGATAATTCTAACATGAGTCTCAAAATTCACATTATCTCATACGGTGTCATGTATTTTTAATTTTGAATGTGATATTATCTCTTCGCCACTAGGAAGACCAAAAAGCAGGTGGATGGATAATATTAAAATGGATCTTAGAGAGATAGGAAGGGATGGTATAGATTGGATTGGATTTATCCGGCTCAGGATAGTGACCAGTGGAGAGCTCTTGTGAACACGGTAATGAGCCTGGTTCCATAAAATGCTGGGAAGTTCTTAAGTAGCTGCAAATTCGGTGGCTTCTCAAGAAGGGCTCAACCCCATGAGTGATGATATTGTCTCTTAAACTTTGTGACCACTAAAATTGTTTATTTAAGGTATACGGGTCTGTATGAAATTACGAACAACATTTAGACTTCCTAGTAATAATTGACTTTGTAGACCATTATTTGACTATATAATGTGAGACAGGGTGCACGTCTTCAGAAAAGCCACTGCCAATTTACCGTGAGCATGCATGATCAGTTTTACAGTACAATCTCAATAACATCTCTGCTGAGGAATTTACAACGCTATACGACACACGCGAACGTACATAAACGGAAAGCAATACATTTGGACTTGTGAAAAGAAGGTATAAGGAACCGAAATTGATTATACATGTCTCGGTGTCTCCGACCAAAATATTGTTATATGTACACCCATTGATAGGCAACGGGTTGGTAAAAAAGTTTCCGCGAAAACAGATTCTTGGTAAACAGTTCGTTGATAGGTCACGCAACAATAGGAGGAATATTTTTAGCTCGCTGTTAGGCAACAATCAGCGCGCCAATGGACTGGCGAGATAGCTATTACGTGATTAGTTTTCAATGTGGTCCATGCCATGCCCAGTGATAAGCAACAGAACTATAGACACATCTACAATAATGTGTTTTCCGTGGGGTCCGTGCCAAAGGTTTATAGGGGAAAGTGAAGGTCGTTTGCAGTCGGTCACGGCTGCGAAGTCGTGAGTCAAGGACACGAAGCCGTCATGGAAAGGGGTCCAGGAGGGTTCAGCAGTTGAGAGTACAAGGACAAGAAGAGAGCGTGTCCTTAGCGAACTGTGAAGATTGAGTACAGATTAAGATAGAGGAGCAGAGAGTGACTGAAAACGAAATAACAAGAAGACTTCATAGTGATTTGAAGCGCTAGTTTCTATGTTGAGATCTGTTACCGGGAGACGACTAGTGAAGACGGAGAATCCTAGTGCATAAATCAGCGATAACGCTGCACCTTCCGGCTTGTAGCATATGCCTCAACGAACTACGCTACCGTATGCCCCCTATGATGAAAGTCACAAATCAAAACTGTATGCTGCATACGTACACTGTCTTGTTGCTAAGCTGTTGGGGTCCTATCCATTTTTAGTTATCTTCACTTCTTCCAAATTTTAGTTTTTCCCCCGAGCACATTAAAACTATAAGCCTACATACACGTATTCTGTCGAAGGTCGATATTAATTTTTCCCAATTATTTGAGAGAAACTTTCGGGAAACTCAGAAGTAGGTCTACGAACAAAGTTTGGCCCATATGAACATAAAAGAACAGGCATGAGTACGACACAGACTAAGTTCCGTTGAATTAATGTTTTTTCTTTCGTTCCATTTAAGTGCTACAAACGCTCCTTTTAATATTGGCACTTGTACATCGCTCCTCGCTCTGTTCTCAAATTGAGATTATCCCCAAAAACCGTACGTTCCTCTTCCATCCACGTTTTGTTTTAGACAGGTTTCATTGTCCACAGCTGTCTCTTTACATGAGATTTTGCAACCCATGTACTACGAGTATTTATTTCTTCCGAAATCACTGATGTATCAGCAAATCTCATTCAGCCTCCTTTACTTGATCACGCTAACAATAATGATCGAAGTTCCTCTTTATGCAATTTCCTCTGTCCTGCTGTTATATGACCTCCCGTAAGTCAAAATACTCTCACAGCAAAAATCTGTTCTCTTCCCAGGGAGAGAGACCAAGTTCCACAAGCATACGGTAAAACAGGTCTATAGCGTTAAGGAATTATGCGCATATGAAACTCAATTGCATGTTCGTGGCGATACTTCAAATCTAAACGATGTACTTAATGTGACAGTGGTAATGCAATGCATACAGATGCATATATCGTACTGTGTTGAAACTATGAGGACTAAAACAGAGTACTAAAGTCTGGATTTGCAGATTAGCTGCAATGCAAGTTCGCGTGACCACACACAATTCAAATGGAAGCACGCAGGACTTGAAATCGGCAACTATTTATGAGAAGGAACAATTACGTCTCTGTAACATCGCAGTTTAGTTTAGAGTGATGTTACTCAATCTGTGTTACAAGAAATCCTGGGGTTCTCGAGAACTCCGCAAAAAGATACCATCTAGAATACCAGTTCATTCAACAATACAACAGCAACAGCAACAATGGATGTCGGTCGACATGCGCTTTTAGGATGTAAGCCGTGGTACTTTGGGAATTAAAATTTCTACTAATGACACTGTTTCCAGGAGGTTTTCTCATTTTACAAACCGTCAGGAGTGGGGGTAGAATGACGCTGACTATAAATCTTAGTGGCACAAATTAAAAGTATCAATGAACATGTAAAAAAAGTAAAGCTATCCATGTAAAAGGCCGTGGAGGCCCAGAGGGTTGTGAAACATTGAGGTTCCTACATTTTCTAGATAATTGGCTCACAGATGGCGGTGAGGTAGTCAGCCTTAAGCGCCGGCCGTCTTTTACTCCTAGAAAGATTCCTGGTACTCATTTCTGTTAGAGGCTGAGTTGACCCCAGGGCCATATTGCGGCTGGAAGGATTAGGTCAACTTAAAAATCCAATAACCTCCCCGGGAATCCAATCCGCGAAAACTTTTTCAATCGTTATGGTGGACCGCTGGCTCAAAAGAGAAGTCCAAAGGGAAAGAAACACACGGAAGACTAACTGCATTGTAAGAAGAAAACAGATGGCGCTATCAGCTTATCAGCTATAAAGTCAAAATTACAAAGGGAACACAAATATTGCAGCCGGAATGCAGTGCGAGGGCGATCGCGTGCTGTGGCCTGCGCGCGCCACTCTTTCGGTGGAAATATCGCGCATCCGCCACCTTTCGGAACGTTTGCGGGATAGACGAAGAAGATAGAGGTCGGGTGCGGAGAGCTTTTGCTGCGGCAGACAGGGCTAGATTTTCAGAGTGACGTTCATGTCAGCGCAGTTCAGCTCTGAGCAGACGAAAAGCAAGAGAGTCGGTGTTCAGTCAGTGAGTCAGCACTCCGTTCTGAGTTCTCGGTTCACGGCAGTGCAGTGCAGTGCAGCTCAGGTCGAGAGACAGCTCATCGCAATATTGTCACTAGTGGTCTTGCTGTGAAATGACGAGCAGACAAGGAACTGACATCGACAGCATCAGTGGTTACGGGCGGTGGGACAGTAACTCCTCCAAATATCGATAATCATCATGATATGAGTTACAGCGATTTCCAATTCGAATTTGCATGTGTTAGTGATTCTAATGTGATTGATACTCGTACATCTGTGTAATGTCACAAAATTTCGGGAAATGGCTTTCGAAAAATTACAAAGGCATTTACAAAGCATGTTAATTGTAAAGACGAACCTGTAGTGTTTTCTGAATGTAAATGTAATTCACTGATACACTCCCAGCTATTAAAACTTAAAAATAGAAATCTGTGTGAAGCTATCATATTGGTCACTGCGGTAAACCTCATACGAAAGGCGAAAACCAAATCATATCGAGACTTGAAGACACAATTTCGTGTATGGTTGGTGACAATAATTCGAAGGGTATCAAAACAATCCCAGTTTCGGATTCTAAAGCTCCTAGAAAAGTCGACATGAGTTGTAATATCGAATGTGAGTTAATAAAACGGACTAGTCAGTTGAAATTCTGCTTCGAAAGTCGATTAATTCAGTGACAGTAGTTCTTCGTTTCTTGATTTTATGATACACTGTATCTCATTATTACATGTTACTGGATGATTTCTGAAGATCCGAGCAAGTAAACAAGTTCATATAAATATTTACCTCCACAGCCTTCTTTAGGAAGTCACACCTACTCTTATTCCAGCATCCATGGTCACACCTTAAATGCCTCCCGTGTTTAACCAGTTGTGTATACGAAGAGCTACTAATATCCTATTTGCTTTTACGCTCTTACAAGAGGTTCTCCAAGTGGCATCAATTTTCAGGGACACGCAATTCAGCTGTGCGTGGAAAAGAAACTCGTAAGAGACTGACGATTCCAGATGTACAAGTACCCTTTATTTTACTTTCAAATTGAAG